CCAGTCTTGGCATAGAATCTCTCAGTATTTTTCAGCGTCTTTTGTAGAAGAGTTTGATGATGCAATCGGCGCCAGAGGATTTTTTGGTGGACGGCAGTGGAGGGCAGTGGTCAGGGGAGGAGGGGACCCGGTTTCCAGCAAATGGGCATCACTGCTTTGAAAAAGATGAATGTAAGGGATGCTGGACCCAGTTTCCAGCAAAAAAAAAAAAAAAAAAGCTCTAGTTTAATTCAGTTTAATTCAGTTTAAGTTCAACACAATAGGCGCCTTGAAGATAGCCGGTGGACGGCAGGGGTCAGGAGAGGGAGGAGGACTCCACTGGTGCCCCCTAGTGCTCCCCTCCATCCCTGACCCCGCTGCAGCATTGGTTTGGAAGAGTGGAGGTGCATATGGGACGCTGGACCCGGTTTTCAGCAAAATGGCGTCACTTTCAATGATGTACTGTTTTGGAAGATGTATCTAAGGGACGCTGGACCCGGTTTCCAGCACGTGATGCTCCCCACCAATAGATGGAGCGGCCCATCAGGCAAAGCCTCAATCCCAGTGGTTCTCTTACCACCACCAGGATAGAGGCCTTGCACATGGGGCCTTTCCCACAAAAAAAAAAAAAAAAAAAAACGGGTGGGGGAAAAAAAAAGGCCCGAAACGGAAAATAGTCCACCGATGAGATTTATCAAAGGCAGCCCAATCCCGCTTGGCCTCCGCATAACCCCCCGCGGAATTGATTTTCAAGCGGGGAACGGTACTGCTGAATTAACCTGTGGGAAAATTAACAAAAAGAAAACGGAAAGCAATCGAAAAAAAAAAAAAAAAAGGAAGGGTGGAAGGAGAGAAATGCTCCCTTGCCATGCCCAGAGAGCCCAACACTTTTTTTTTCTTTTTTTTTTAATGCCCCGGCACAATTCTGCAATGCCTAACCACAACTTCGCCTGATGGCAATAATTCAAAGGGCCCCCTCTTCCTTTTCCTGGAAACTGGACAAGGTCCAACTGGTTTTGCATTTATTATTATTTTTTTCCCATCTCACACATACTGCATTTGTGAGCCAGCATATACTCAATGCACAGTGTGAAAAACACAATGAAGCTCCTAGAAGGCTCTACTATCTCAAGCACACTACAACACTTACTCGGTTGGCAAGGCTCTTGTCACATCAGGCACCCAAGTCTTTCCACAAATTTCAGCTCCGCCAACCTTCCCGCCAGTCGTCAGAGAGGGCCATTCTGACCTTGCCCTCCCGTCTCATAGATCTTGAGGCTCTCCACCTGACACCATTGCCTCCATTGCTAGTGAATCATAATGACCTTCCTTTGAGCTTGAGTACCCCTAATTTCCCTAAACCATCACCCCAACAGCCCCTGCACTGTCCATTTTTGGTCTACGAGTACCAGGGCCAAATTTACAGTGCCAGGCCCAGTAGAGGTTTGGTGGGGAAGGGTACCACAACTACTTTTCCTCACTGTGGCACTGTAGATTTTACCCTCGGGGAAACGCAACTTTTGGTTTTTCAAAATAGATCCGGATGGAGCGGTGGTTTACATCAGCAGTACCCTTCCCCGCTCGAAAAACAAATATGCGAGCTGGTATACGGCCCCTCAACTTTTGGGGGTTGGGGTACCCGACCACCATGGCTGGCGGCGCCAGCAGAAATGAGGCCCACGCCGGAGCATTTTTCTTTCGCGTGCAGGGAATTTTCAGGCTTGGCTTCAATAGTTGGGCGAGGTACTGCGTGGTTTGAACTTTGAGCCACCCGTAGCCTCCCCCAGGCAAAGGGTAACACAGGGTGTAACACAGGGCCATTTGAAACCGTCCCCCGATTTCGACATCTTCTACGGTTCTACCCCTCCCGCTGCTACTGGAAACATCAGTGTCACAGTCTGTCTCTTGCCTGGGGGCGATATATGCATGGGTACAGCCCCTGTGCTGACCCTGCCTCAAACCATGGACGGCCTTTCGAAACCTGTGCTTGCCTATGTGCTGCCCTGCCTATGCCTTCCCTTCATATTCCTCCCTTTACATAAGGCACCAGGCCCGCGCCATGTCCTCCCTTGCTTCTTCCTCCTCCTTTCCTTTCTGTGGACTCTCCCCGCCCCCAGCATCTGTCCACCTATCTACCTGTTCGCTGCCAGTCCTTTTGACCATGTACTGAGCTCGTGGGTTCCCTTCTTGTCTTTCCTGGCCGTCCGTCCCCTGTCATCCTCGTCTTCTGCACATTCTCACCCCCTATTCGGGTCCCTTGTGGGACCTGTCATCTCCTGTGTAACTGGAGTTGAGGCTGGCCGGTAAGTGGATGAGTGGGGCTGGGAGGACATGGGGGGAATTGGGGGGGTAGCTGGTGGAGAGGCCTGCGCCGGCCCTGCAGGATGGTTGGGAGGTGGAGGAGACGGTGTGAGGGGGTGAGGGCACTGAGGGATGGAGAGCCCATGGGCAGTGAGGGAGGTAGTGGGCGGGGGGGACCGTCGGAAGCATAAGGGGGGGGGCGGGTGAAGGAGTTGGGAGTGGAGAGTCAGCTGCAGAGACTTGGGAGCAATGGTCAGATGTTGGGCTGGCTGCTGCCATTGTCCCCGTTGACAGCCCCGGCTGTGGTGTATAGAAGCAGTCTGCAGAAGGACCACTGGTCTTCCTGCGCTGCCCAGTTTTTCCAGAGGAACTTTCTGTTGTCCTAGACTTCCGCCATCTTGCCGTACAGGTCAAGCCTGCGCTTGCTGAATGCTGAGATAACCTGTTGTTTTTTCTCTCCGTCCCGCCTTTACTGCTATCTCCTCCACAAGTTTTCTGCCAGCTTCAACCAACTTTGCCCGGATAATTTCTACAAGTTCAACTGTGGCCTGGTGATAGCCAAATGTCATTTCTTGACACTCTGCCAAGCACCTCATCCGCCATATCACCACCCGCCATATGACCACGAGGACAGCCAGCCTGATTTGTTTGAACAGGTTTCTGTGGAAGGGTGTCCAGGCCGGCAGGATGCTTTTCCGTTTCCCCGGTAAAATGAGGGCTATGCTCCGGTGGAGAGTAAAATGAGGACGATGCTCCGGTGGAATACTGTACCTGTGCGGATGTGCCACATTGCGGCGGGATGCTTTCCCGCCATTGCCATATCCGTACTGCCATTGGACATGCCAAAAGACAATGTTCCAGGTCTGCCCTCTGTTGAGGGACTTCGGGTCCACAGGGAAGCACATGGGGGGCAGAACCCCTGCCTGTTCCAGGTTGGACCTTGCAGTCACCCACATCAGTGTATGATTTGCCATTGCACGGCCCTGTGGGAGGTGGGCATGGTATGAGCATGGGTGGGATATGGCGCAGGTTTTCTTCACCCACCAGGAAGTCTGGCGCAGGTTTTCTTCACCCACCGGGAAGACGCTTTTTTTATGGCACGTGGCGTGCGCCTGGTTATATCCTTTTCTAACCGCGTATTGCCAGATTGGGATTGGATTGCGGCCCTTACACTCCCACTCGTCGAGGTCGAAAGGGTAGGCCCCCACCGGGGTGGGCATTTCGTATGCGTAGAACCCCATGTGTTCGGACCCTACCCCTCTTATTCTTGTGAAGCCCTCCTCCGGGCTTGTGTGGTCCAGGACAGGGGTCCTTTTTAGGGAGGCTCATCTGGCCCTCTGTAGATAGCCATGGGGATTTGGTTCGGACTGGACTAAATAACCCAATCCCGACTCCTTGACGACGGTCCTTCTTGCTGGGTGACCACCCAATGCGGCGGGATTGCTGATCACAGTTGCTGCAGTTTGCCTTGAACCCTTTTTCTGATGTTATCGAGGTTGGGCTGCAGCTGTTGTGGCAATTTCCATGTTCCAGCTTGGCTGTCCCACATATCTCCCAAAGTGAAAATTCCGTTTTCACCCATGCGAGCTATTGCGAGCCAGCCGACAAGGAGAACGGTGTCCCAGCAGCATCACAGATGTGCAGGTTCCCAAACAATGGATGTCGCCATAGCTACTGCCATCTGAGAGGAGGGGGGGGGTTTGACTGGCCCCATCTTTCTCCATAGGTCAACCATTGTGGTCCATAGGGGATCACTTTTAAGATCCCATCTGTCCCTGTTGCTGGGTGACCCATCCCTCTTATGTCGCGGGGGACTTGGCAAGCACCGAGCTGAGTTAACCAGCCAGGTGGGAGGTGGACAGGGTGGTGGGGGTGGGAGGGGGGAGCCAGGTTTGACAATTGAATGTAAGCGAGTGGCAGCCACGGCGATGCACGGCAATTTCCAAAGATCACCAACAATCCTCCAGCTGAGGTGCCATTGTAACTGACGAGAAATTGATTCAACAAGCACTGTGGCTTATTCTGTCAAAGCAAAGCCTGTCATTAGTGTATAGTAAAATAACATGCGCTGCAAAAGATGGCTGGAGTTATTTTTAGCAAGAGCTGAGAGATGTGCTATCCCATGCCATCCCATCCCATTCCATCCCATCCCATCCCATTCCATCCCATCCCATTGAGGACCACGCAAATTCAGAGGGAAGCCCCAAAACCAATCGGTTCCGGAAAGAATTCCACAGATAGATAAGGGAACAGATATTTGGTAGATGAGATGGATTAACTCATGGTACATTTTTCCACACACACACAGACACAGACACAGAGAGAGAGAGAGAGAGCTGTCTCTTATACACA